TTTATCCCTATCCCGCTTTGGGACCGCAGGCAAGCGATGGGTTAAATTTGTCTAGCCCCACCCCCCCCCAGCGGTCCGGTTTCGATCCCTAATTGTATTGCGGACCTGTTTGCAGAGGGCCGCGTACTCGCCTGCCTTCTGGAACATTCTGCCTGACTGACCGGCACGGGCCTTTAGGGCACGTGTTAGCCCTCCGCCGATGGTTTTAACTTGTGGCAGTGGGCGATTTCTGTGGGCTAGCCAGGGTCACGAAAACGACAGGGTGATTGGCACCTTATATCCGTAATAAAGCCCATTTTCCTAACTGTTCCCCTAAACCAAACCTTCCATGACACTCTCCTTGGAGCAGCTCAGGGCGAATGAGGCACCGGAGCGCTCCCCGCTTCTCTCAGGGAATCACGTTCTTTGCAAGTCAGTCCTCCGAGGGGCAAGGGGCTACGCCGGCAGGCTTTGCGGCATGCTCTGTGCTCACACCAACACTGCCGCTGTGCTGCAACGGCATAAAGCGCTCCCCTCTGTCCCTTTGCCCATTGCTCCTGTTATGATTGGGGTTATTACAGACAGACCTAAAGGGACTGAGGACCCGCTGTGCTCGTCGTCGTATAAACAGGCAGCGTGGTAAAGGAAGCAGCGTTCGTACCTCCTACTGAAAAATGAGGGGCTACCGCACAGGAGATGAAGCGATTTTGCCAAATCCATAAGAAGCAAGAAACAAAGCAAGCCCAAGGAAGGAACCGGGGTTTAAGACTCTGTTGTGCTTTACCATAGACTGGAGCGGAGAGGAGAGGGATTCAGAGCTGTTCTGGGTACTGTAGCAAGCTCGGCCTGTTTGACAGTTTCAAATATTCTTCTCCAACATTGCACAGATCCATGTGCATCCTGTGCCTTACATGCTCGACGCTCACTGGCACAGCATTTTTTTTTTTTAAAAAAAGGATACTCTGAAGTCACTTCATGTGTTAATTCCCTGCTCCTTGGGCAGTGGGGACCAGCACTGCCCAGGTCAGAAGAGGGTCTCTTTGCTCCAGCTGCCTGCGGCT